ATGAAAACCCAAAAGATATCACCTCTTCAGTGAGTTAAAAGGTAATGTAATTCAGGGCAGACCCACGTACCTTCTCACCCAGCTGCCAACAGTGTGTCACAATTTAACCCAAACGCAGCTGCTCACGATGGGACAGGGCAGAGAATCAGAACAGTAATAGTGAGGAAAACTGGGAGTTGAGGCAAATACAGTTTAACAGCTAAAGCAAAAGTTGCCACAAACAAAACAAGGACTTAATTCTCTCCTTCCCATGGGCAGGCAGTGTTCAGCCATCTCTAGGAGAACAGAGTCCCTTCATGTGTACCAATAACTTGGGAAGGCAAAACACTCTGAGTGTTCCTCCTCCCACCCCCCTGTTTTATATACTGAATGTGATCTGGTCATATGGGCTGGGACATCTGTTGTCTTGGCTGGGGTCCCTTGTCCCCTCCCAGCTTCCTCCCAGCCCCAGGTGCCCATGCTGGGCTGCAATACAAGGTGGTCCCCTGCTCAGCAGGTCCCAGGCCCGGGAATTAGGAGATCAGGGTTTGTTTATTGGCTCTAGCACTTAGGAAAAGCATCTTCTGCTATCCTTTGCCTGCCTCGTGGCTTTAATCCAAAGTCTTCATTCTCCTGGTAAGTTCAAAAGCATTTTAAATCTGCCATTCAGAAAGGCATTGAAGCCTGGGATGGCCAAGCCCACTGTGCTGTCCAAGGTTTCCTCATCTTCCTTGTGTTGCCCTTGTTGCAAGAAGCAGCAGGAGACATAGCCCATCTCCTGTGTTATGGATGTCATTCCTCAAGATTATCCCCAAATTACTGTAGATGCCATTAGAAACTATTGAATAATAGCTTCTAAAATATCCACCTACTCCTCCTCTTTTTGTCTTTATCAAAAGCTAAAGAATATTTCTAATGTGACAGGAAACATGCTCCATTGTTTCTCCATTCTGTTTGACTGAAGTGAAGCAGCTTCCCTGCACAAAGGTACCCACGGAATAATTTACTTTTCTGAGCTCTGATAATTTTGGAGCCTAACTTATTTTAACTATTGCAGTTTCAGAGAGCCACCTGGTAAAGTTCTTCCATGTCATTAAAGCTCAGTGGGGTTTTGCCCCACCTATTAAGAGAGACCCCAGCACAGCATTTGGATTCCAAAGAAATACACAATTAAATCAGCTGAATCATTTGTGAGATTAATGTTTCCATTATGTCTCCCACATTTGGTGGTTGGATGCAGGGGATGGAGGCAGACCCCTGCAGCACTGGGGTTTGCAGCCTCAGGTGTTTCAGCCTCTGTGCTGGGACACAAATAGCTGCTCTTAATCATTTACATGACAAATGCCTGGCCTTGACCCACCTGCAATCTTCTTTGTAAATTTGTGTGACATCAGACCCATCAGAAACTCATTGCTCACAGATTTTTGTTGCCACTGGGTGCAGCTCAAAGAACAAAAAAGCAGCAGAAACAGTAAAACCCCTGACACTGAGTTATTTTTCCATGTCACATACCCCAGTGTGCTGAAGCGCTCACATGGCCACTGTGGCATTGGTACAGAAACAGGGCTAAAAGCAGCTGGAGAGCACAGGACTGTGGGGAGGGGAGTGGCAGCACACCTGAGGTCCCTTCAGACAAGTGAGCCACTTCTCCAGCCTCACTGGTGTGCACAGCTGTGCACTCTGCCTCAATGGGCACTGCCACAGCACGTTTGGTGAGCCTTTATCCACTGTGCCCATCCCCTGAGGCCGGGGAGCACATGGGGGTGTTGGAGCTGACAAACCAGGGCCTGGCAGGGTCAGCTCCTGGTTCTGCTGCCCTTGAGGACTTGGGAGCCAGCTCAGGCCATGGTAATTGTGCTCTGGACCAGCACTGGAAACCTACTCAGTCACCAGTCCTGCCTTCCATGCATAATCATTTTCTCCCTTGAGGTTAAGGGATACCTTCAATCAAAATGAGAACGTTTTACTCTGCTCTGGAAACAATGCAAATGCACTGCAAACATTTCACTGGCTGATGCTTGGTATTTCTGCATAATCTGACAATTCTGCATAGAGCAGATGAAACAGCAGAGAAAGGAAGTTCTTGCCTCATTTTTCTCTTCTGGCCAAGACAATACATCTAATTCTGGCTGATACCATATTTGCTGGGGTCCTCAGAGGCTTTGTGGTCCCCAGTTCCTTCTATAACTCCTGGCTCCTGGTTGGAAGCCACCACAGCCCCACCAAACACTGGTTTAGCAAAGCAGCAAATTCAGCCAAGAAAATATTTCTCAATTCCTTTCCTGCTTCCCTGCTCTGTTCAGGTCACTCAGACCAAACTGCACAGCATGGCAGTGCTGGGGTAAATGGCTTGTTCCTGGGCAGGTGCCCCTGCCTCTGGTTTTTTGTCCATTTAGGCAGGGCTTCCAGAAACACCTGGTTCACACAGGCAGCAGTGGCAGGGACAGGCTCCTGCTGGGCTTCTCCTCGTGTGTAAATCACATCTCACAGACAGCAGTACAGGCAGGGTGGCCTCAGTGTTCAGTCACTTTGGCTGCCTATCCCTTGTGGGTCTCAGATTCAGTCAAAGAGAGAAATGGGAGTTTCTAGCCAGATAGAAGCCTGGGAAAGATTTGGAGAAGAATGTAAATAATTCTTTACCTCTCGTGTTGCTCACATTGTTTATAGTTAAGTTCTATCACTGTGCGTCAAGCACTCTGCACCAATGGTGTGGCTTGTTTTCACTTCAGGAGCAATGGAATTGATCCTCACAAAGCTCTGTATAAAAGACCAGTGTATTTTGAATACACCAGAGTTTTACTCTCAGCAGCCTTCTGATCAGTCTCTTCATTCCCATCTTGCCTTGACAGCGACAATCCCTAGCTAAGGTTTGTTTCCCTTGCTTTGGCAGGATTCAAACAGAAAGCAATGGTGTGGCATTCAGCACAACTGGGGCACCCAAATGTGCCATTTGTCATGTTAGAAGGTAATAGAATAAGGAAACAACCCCTCCGTGGAAAGCTGCTACTCTCCCTGGCAAAGGAGGAGCAAAAGGCAGGTGTTTCCATCCCCAGGTGCTGCTTTGTGTCTCTCAGAGGCACAGGAGCACTCACTGCTGGCTGAGCTGTGTTTGATGGCTGGATCCTGCTGCTGGAAAGCTGGATTTTCCTGGAGCTGTGTGCTGTGGCTTCCCAGGCTGGCTCCCTGTGCCAGGGTCAGAGGCAGGGACGCAGAGGAGGTCACAGGTGCCAAAGCAGCGGGGCACAGAATGTTCAGATGTTTCTCATTGAGTGATTTGTTCATCCCTCCTCCCCTCCCCTGGGCCATCCCCTCCCTCATTTGGTCCTTGCTTTGCCAGGAACACACGCTGGTAAAGAGGTCTGAAAAATCATGGTGATTTCTATTCTGTAGGGAAAAAAATTCCTTTGTTGTTCCTTCTTTGTGCAGCTCAGTGCAAGGCCCTTGCAGGGGGCACAACAGCCAGTGCCTGTGTGGCAGGGATAAAGCAGGTTTCTGAAATCTGGTTGAAAGGAAAATATGACTTCTTCCCTTGTTGCCATGATCTTGTTGACTTGCCAGTGTATTGCACAAAGCAACTCATACAGATTTTCTTTGCATGACAGCAAAGGCTTTTCTTGGTGTGAAAAAAGCAGAGTAGTGGGGAGGATTTATCACAGTGAGAAGAATTTTGCAGTTGATCTGGCTGTTTGTCAGCTGCTCCTTCTGGAGCAGTGAGCAGGCATGACAGGTTGGAGTCTGGAGTGGTTTCCCCTTTGGAATTGCTGGCTGTGCCCTTAAGCAAAGACTTTGGAAAGATTTGTGTGGTCAGGGTTAAAAACCCAACAATGCAGCCCAGATGGGTTGGAATGGAGAGCTGCAGACAGCATGAAAAGAGTTTTCTAAGTATAATAATTTAATTTCTTTTTTCTAAATAGTCACCTGTAAAGATTCATGCCAGCTTCCTGAACTGGGTTGTGACCATGCTGGGGACTTAAGCAGCCTCTCCTACTGGGAAGGTCCCAGAGGCATCGCAGCGCTACCAATAGCTGCTGGTTTTGCATATGGAGGGAGAAAAACCAATTTCCCCAGTGCTCAGGGCACAGGCTTGTTGCAGTGGGACAAAATGTGCCAACTGGGCAGTATTGCCTCTGCAAACCTCAGTGAGCTGAGCACTGAGCAGCCATGGGCCAGACTGATGTGTGAGGATACAGGACAGAACTTCACCTCTGGTAACACAGCACAAAACTGCTTGCAAAAGCTACACTGTGCTTTCCATGCCACTTCAAACACCTGAACCCCATGGCCTTTGCCAAGCTACTCTGAGAGAGTAGCAGAGGGCTTTAAATTAATGTGTTTCACTAGAAAATAGGAGATTGATTAACTCTTTCCCTCATATTTTGGGCAGTTAAGTAAAACCCTCTTGGGAAGAAGAGGTGTGTGTTTGTATGTGTCTTAAAACACTGAGAATTGTGTGGGGAATGCTCCAGGATTCCAACACTGGGAACTGTGTGGGGAATGCTCCAGGATTCCAGCCCTGAGAATTGTGTGTGTCTGCAATGACCTTTCCAGGCTGCTGGGGAGAAAATGGAGAGGCCATTTGTGAAACAAAGAGTTGCAGTCCAGGGAGACTGGAGTGTTTTAAAATGTGGCTCAGAGAGCCAAATGACCTTTACAGGTTTCTAGGTAAATTTAAAATTCTTTCCAAGGGCCTGGCAATGTGGGGCAATGCTCAGCAGCCAGTGAGGCAGACTGGGGGCAGTGGGACCAGCTTGAGTTAGGCTGTGTGCCAGACCCCATGGGAATTAATCTGTGGCACTGGCAGGGAATGGCTCACTCAAATCTCACATGGGTTTTAAATGAGCCACAGAGTGGGCATTGCACTGAAGCAGCTCCTGGGGAGGGAATATTTTAACTCACTTTGAGCATAGGAAGCATCCCCAACATGCCAGGCCCTTTCCAGGGCTTTCCATGGACACAGGGATTCTGTGGCACTGGCTGCACTCAAGCCCACCTTCCAAGAGATTTCACTCGTGCACAGAGGCTTTGTTTCGTATTTTATTGAATTTCATTTATATTAAATTAAAAATATATTTCTGACAGATTCATGTAACAAAAAGGCAGAACAGTTTTCAAATTGTTCAGCTGGGATGAGCGTGGGTTGATGCAAGGTGGGTCGCAGTCTACATTTGCCTTAACAAACAGATAAAGCTCTACCCCAAGGACCATGAGGAGAAACTCCGGGCTGCACACGGGAGTGGGGAATAGAACCACACAAAGAGAAGATCCACAGGTTTCTTCCCAGCTTCCAAACAAGACAAAAGGGAAGGGAAAGGAAGGAAGGAAAAAAAAAAAAAAAAAAAAAAAGAAAGAAAACCCCCGAGAAACCGTGAAAAGAAGGGAAATGATGCTAAAATATGTACCTAATCTTAACCCAGGTCAGTAAGTATTTTAACAGTGTATAATTCTCAACAGCTAAAGTATGAGAAACAAAAGGTTAAAGTAACATTACGCCACACACGATTGGCATACCCTACTGTGTAAGCAAGTGCAGAAAGTCTGAACACACCACAACAGTGCTAAAACACAGAATCACACAGAATGCTGAAAATGGTACCTCTAACCAAAACCAGAGGGTGGGAAGGGACAGAAAGCAAAGGGGAGGAGCGGCTTAAATCACAAGCAAATTACCTATATACAAATCAACCCTAAGGACAATTATGTTCCAAACAATGGTGTCCACAAGGAAAATAAAAGCAACATTATCCTTATTTACAAATGCAACTAGCTGTGTCTTTAACAAGCTATAAAAATACTATTCACATTTTCAAAGTAACATACAGTAGGTATTGAATTTCTTTTTATTTTTGTTTCAGAAAGGCAGCTAACTCTGAATGCATCACTTTGCAAGAAATGAGTGTCTTCCCCAACTTGCTGACACTTCTCTTCTTCTGAAGGTACTTCATAAGGCAGAAGTATTGTTGTTTTATGCTGTGGCTCTTTCAGAACGTGGAGGATTGACAGAAACCCAGACCACCCCACCTGCGTGTGCTGCTGGTCCCTCTGGGCTGGCCCATGCTGGCACCGTGATCAGGAGTCACCAGGAGCTCAGTGCTACCCCAGTGTCACCTGCCAGGTGGGAGGCTCTGATTCCCAGGGGACAGTAATGTCATACCCCGGGCCTGAATTTAAGCCTCATCTGAAAAGTCAATGGTTCAAGACCACCAGATCAGGAAATGAAATTTGGCTATCTCTGTTCTCAGAAAGAGACTTCTTTTCCCTTCAGTTTCCCTTCCCTGATACCCATTTAGCTATTCCAGCTTACAATATTGGGGAAGTGGCAAAAACTGGGCAAAAGAAGGGATTAAAACCATTGTGAACAATGTATCAAATGGCTACCCATTTCCATCTTTAAAATGCTGTAAAAAATTCCCAGTTTTCTCATTCACCTGCATTTCCCTCTTGCATTACCCCACCATAAGTACCCCCACAAGCAGCCAGTACCTACCTCCCATCCCAAATCCAGAGGAGCAGTGATTTCATGCATTCAAAGTTAGCTACCCCCCACACAGCTGCTCAGTTAATAATCGACCCATTTAACAGCAGGACCAGTTTATGCTACATATGTCAGAGTACCTTACCTCGAAAGAACAGCAGACCTATCTACACTTAGAAAATACCACTCACAGTTCCCTACTGTGGTTATCCCAAAAGGGTTTAGTCTTCAGAGTGCTATGGACAATGCAGTGTTTCCCCCTAGGAGAGCTCCAAGGTCGGGCTGGGGACCAAAGTGCTGGCAGATGGTGCTCGGTGACAGCTGGTGGCTCCTGTGGTCACACCTGAGCCAGCAGCCTGATGCTGAAGGGCAGGATGGCAGGATGCACCTTCCCAGCAGGTGAAGGGCTCATCCACAACACCTCTGGAGTGTGATTTCATGGCTTTTTTGTTGGTGAGGGGAGAAGAGCTGGGACAGAACTACCCACGCAGCCTTATGAAACTGCCCTTAAAACCTCTCTCAGCCATGGTCCGCAAAGCTCGCTTCTAAAATTAAATAATAAAAAAGGAACAAAAAAACCCCAAACAATTACTTTGATTCCTCTTGTTTCCTATTGGGATGTCCTTGGACTTCCCCCTCACACTTTTCCTGTATTGCTGCCACAGACCCCAGCTGGAGGAGGCCCAGTGTCCCTCTGGCTCTGGTTAGGAGAGGAGACTGGCTAGAGTTCAAGCCCCACTGAGTCCATCAGTCAGCCTTGAACAACCACAAAAATCCCTAAAAAGTGCTCTGCATTGTCCAAACCTACAGGCAGATCCCAGCCATCACTGCAGCAGCACCACCAACAGCCTCACCTGCCTGTGATTTCCTCGGAACAAACCACTATTCCACACAGTGGCAAAATAAAATCGTGCTAAAATAACATTAGAACTGACTTGGAGACATGATCTTTGGACATTTTAGAGTGGTGCTTCTAACCACATAGCTTTATTTTTGTTATTTGTTCCCAGTCTGAAAGCCCCATTTGTAACAGTGACCGTTTCCACCTTTATAGCAACAGGCAGGAAAAAAAAAAAAAAAAAAAAGAGGGAATCCTGCACAGACAGTGGTGCTTCACTGAGGCTACTCTGTGGGACAACTGCAGCTCCCTACTTGATGAAATGAACAGCCTCATTGTGCCTTGTCTCTTCATCTCCCAGATGGAATCAAGGAACTCAAACAATCCCATCGTTCTGTTAGCTGCTACCATGATGCCCAACACTTAAACAGACAAAAATAGATTTTCTTTTTTCTTTAATATTTGATTTTCCATCCCCAAAACCAAGCTGTATTTCTAGGCTGACTCACCTCACAACTCATACTTCTCCCCTGTGCTGCCCAGCTCTACCTAAAGCTATGGAAAGAGTGGATCCACAGAGTCAGGGCTGAGCTGCTCTTCCAGAGCTGCACCTTCCTTCCTGCTGGGCTGGGATTAGTGGTGGCTGAGGGTGACATCTTCAGTGGAAAATGGTGTCAGATCATTGCATATGAGCCTTGCAGTCAAGAAACACATTTTCTACCAAGTGTGTGGTACATCCAGGAGTAATACAGCATTTCTTTGTAGACAGAAAAGGATTTCAGGGTACCTCAAACAGATCTACATGGCTCCTATTGCAGATTTATTTCCATCTCTTGCTACCTGAGAGAGACAAGCTGTCTGAAATATAGCTGTAAATACTCTGCTACCTCTGAGCCAATGGCCATGTAAAAAATCCCTCCTGGCCATTCTGCAGAAAAAGGAAAATCTGAAAAGATCTGAAGAAGTAAGTGTTAAAAGTAGTTGGTTTCAGCCAATTATGCTACAGTGAGTCAATCGGCCCCAGCATCTGCTTGCAATAACCCTCAGGTAGGTAATGACAGCTAGGACAAGTAACACTGAAAGAGATCAGGAGAAAATAACAAATGTTGTTCTCTTTCCTTTAGCAGGATGCTTTGTGCCTTGGATAATGGCTGAGCCACACTCAGCTAAAAACGTGCTTTTGAAAAGGTGGTCACTGCTCTCCTGTGACACAGGCCATGACAGGAGGAAACAGAACATTTGTAAACAGGAGACTGCATTCTAAAACCCACAGATCCCTCTGTAGCACTAGAAAGTGAATCACACCCAAAGTACTTCTGTTGATCTGCTCTCCTGCTGCTTTGTGCTGACAAAATGCAGTTTGTGTGTGTGTGTGTGTGCTTTTCGCCCAGACCTGTCATTATGCCTTAAAGACCTTGGCCCTCATCTTTCACCCCATATGAATCCCAGTGGAATGCTTGCCATGATTTTGCCATCTGCACTTGCCCAAGTTCTTTCCCCAAGCCAGCAGCAACACCCAGTAAGGCAAAGATGTGAGTTAGGGACAGCCAGGCATTGCTGCTGGAATTAAAACAGCCAAACAGTTCTGCTCTCAGTTTCCCTTTCTTTTTTTCTTTAGCCATGATTAAACTATCTGTTGCAAAGAGGCAAACCTGCCAGCTAAGCTCACGGAACCCAAGGGCCAGTTTTGGCAACTGCAACTCAAACCAGAAGCTCAGAAAACAATTAAAAAAAAAAAAAATTGAGAAGCTGCAGCGTGTGGAGCTCTCCCTCATCCCGAATCGCTGTGCTGATGAAGCCTCTGCCTGTCCTCTGTATCCCAGACCCCACTAGCATGGCTCTGCATGGCTCATCCGGGCTGCCAGGCAGAGCCCCTGTTCCAGCTTTCCTGCTGCCCCACCTGCAGGAGCCTCTGCATTTCCATGCTACTTAATATATTACAGCACACCCACAGTCAACAAATAAAATTAATAAATAATTCAAGCCTTGTAAGAAATAAAAGGTTAAATTGTTAAACCCCACCAGTATTTACACTTGGATTACTCCATGGGCTTGTTTCTAAGATGAGCACTACTTCATTGCCAGAGGAACAAACAGGCCTCACCTTGTGTGAGCAGCTCCATCCCCGTGCCTGGCTCTGGAGGTGTGCCTGCCTCTGCCCCAGCAGCCTCTGAGCTCATCTCTGAATCCAAACATGTCAGCTGAGCCAGCATTTCATTTTTTATTTTTCTCCATTAGGAGTTACTCTGTTACAAGAACCATTCAGGGACAAATCAACCTTTCTCCACCTACCTATGGTCCTGCAGGCAGCTGCTGTGCTGAACACCCACATTCCTGCGCTGGTCCCTGTCCCCAGGCAGCTTGGCAGCATTGTCCCAGCCTGGCAGACCTGTGCAGCAGGTGAGCACTGCTGTGGGCAAACCTTCCCTGGAGCAGCCACCCTCTGTGCCCCAGCCCCTGCCTGCTGTGTGCCCCTGTCCCACCAACATGGTGAGGAGCTACCAGAGGCACCAGAAGAGGCCCCTCAGTGCAGATGATATCCATCTATCTCCTGGCAGTGGCCATTTGGTTATATCACCACAAACCACCTTGGTACCACTTGACCCAAGGTCTCCTTTTCCCAGCTCAAAGCTCTGTGCCTGTTGTTGCTGCTTCCAGAACCTTCAGCTTGATGCACACCTGGACACACCGGGTGCACCAACAGCTCGCTGGCTGAACCAGCCTTGTGATCACAGGGTGTTTTCCATCTACAAGGGTAACAACCAAGCCAGCTTTAACATCTTTTCACACCTTTGTCAAGCTGACCTACTAAGCTTCAGGTAGCTGTTGCTTGTTTCTTACTCCCTTCCTCTGCTCCTCTAAGATTAAAGGTGGCAAGCTGATGGAATGGCAGGAATTTAGAGGAGGGTGATGCCATTTCCAGACCACTGCTTGCTGCTGGTTTTGTTGCCAGGTTAGGTCACCCTAAAGATCCCAGCCCTAACAGAGCTGAAGCACATAAACTGAAATACTGTTGCATCACCCAGGATTGCCATCCACCAGGCATTGCCTCTTCCCTTTAAAAGCCTTGATGGATAGAGACAGGCAGATCTCCAAAGGTACCTCATAGTTCCTTAAGGTGTTTGGTGGGAAGCAGGCTCACAAATGCTCTTACACACGCAGTGCTGGTGTGCCAGGAACAAGCCTTGGTGCCTCTGGCCCTTGTGCCTCCTTCCCAGCTCCATCTGCCCCAGATCACCAAAAACATCCAGAACTCTGCTTTGAAAGAGATTTCCAAAGAGGAGCAGGTCAGGGGGTGTCTACCTAAAAACTGAGGTTGACAAAAGCAGAACTAAGTGCAAGGAGACTGACTCATACTTATTTACATTTTTGACAGAAAGCTCTGCAAATCATGCACATTTTGACTTCTCAAACCTCATATGCACTGTCTTCTGTGCCAGAGTAATCCTCCTTTTAGAAAAATGGTATTCTGTACTGTGCTGCAAGCCAGAGGAAGACATTTTCCTCCCCTGATCCTTTCCAGGGCTTGCTCTGCTGTCCTTCACAGAGCAGCAAGAAGAGCTGGCTGCTCTGTCACTGTATTCTCTGAAGCAGTCACTGCATCGGCCTCTCAGAAGTGGCAGGCATTGTTCCAAAGACTTGATTTGCTTCATTTTGGCATTTCCACAGTCATCCTTTACAAATAATTTATATTTCTTTTTTAATTTAAAATTATTATTTTGCATTTTGCTGGTCACTTCCATATTGCTTCATTCAAAATCCAGAAAACAGTTCAAATAAAATCAGAGGTTAAGTGCAAACTAACTTTCCAGTGAACCACTATGTGCGTTTTCTCCAGTCCAGTGTCTGTCTTCCAGTTTAAAGGACCCTTCCCACCCCACCCCACAAAACATCAAACTCTTCAGTTCTCTGTCTTGTCCTCAGTGCTGCCTGACAGCATCCCCAGCTCCCTTCATGACCATGAAGAAGAAAAAGAGGGAAGAATTAGTGACAATCTTTTGCAGTGTTTACAGTCAGCAGGTATAAAACAAGAAAAGCAAAACTTTTGGCATACAAATCTTCATTTCTTGGCCTGGTTTTTAGCTTCAAATGACCATATTGAAGATGTGGTTTTGTAACTCTCTTCTGAAGGGTATTTTGTGTTTAAAGTGATGGCTGTGTTGGCACACGTACAAAAATGGTCATGTCAAGTACCAGCTCTGAGCAGGAGTCTCTGTGGCTGGGAATTGGCACAAAATCACGGTGTGGCTCAGAAGAGGGGTTTAGCTGTATGTGGGAGTCACATCATCATTTCTTGGAAAGCCACAATGAAGATCTGAATGTTTTTGAAAAGCTATGTTAGCCATTTTCAGTTGCTGGGATAGAAAGTGTTAGAGAAAGAAATTGGATTCTCAATCTCAATTACTACGCTATCACACAGGATATAAAAATTGTCCATTTTTCACCCTGATGGAAATTGCATGGAGATTTCCAGGAATGCTGTACAGACTCCCATCAGCTCCTGCTGAAAGAATCAGCCTTTCTGTGGCACTTCCTACAGCTGGATCACTGAGAACGAGCTCGAAGCAGCACTGCCACCGGCCTTTCCTAGCACCACCTGGCTTCTCTGGGCATCCAACCCCCGCCTCTGCCGAAAGTGGGGAAGGCCAGGTTGGACACTCCTTCTTTCAGTCTCTTTCCTTCCTTCCTTCCAGGCTCCCAACCCAATCTGCAACCAACTCCGAGACATCCTTTCACTTAGAAATATCAAAAATGAGTGAACTGGCAAGAAGAGGAAGCTCGTGGGAGAAAGAGAGGGAAGGGAGGGAGGAAGGATGGGCAAGGGCAGGGAGAAGGGGGGAGTGGGAAAGGATGAGTGAGGCAGCTAGAAGGGGGTTGCCTTTCCACTTCAGTGAGAGCACAGCCACTACACCACGGTGTTCCGGTGTCTGTAGGGCGGCGGGGGCAGCACAGTGCCAGGCTTCAGGGAGAACTCGGAGAGGTATTCGGGATTCTCTGCCACTATGGGCCGGATCCGTCCGTTCTGTTTGTAAAAGTATTTTGTGCTGTACTCTTGCAGGTAGTCCGGGTGCTGGAGGGTGCTCCGTGGGGGCAGGCTGTGGTTCCAGTAGTCTGGGTTGTCAAAGGCCTTCTTGGCTTTCTCTGGCAAATTGTTCTTCAGGTACTCGGCGTTTTCCAAGGTGCTGGCGAAGGTGTTGAGGTACAACGGCTCGTTCACGTACTCGTCCTCGGCTTTGGGCTGCCCGTTTGGAGCCTTGTGGTACTCTGGGTTGTCCACAGCTTGGAGATCTCCATTCTTTCGTCGGGAAACAAATGGGTTCTCTTCCACTGGGTTTAGGTAATCTAAGGAAAGACAAAAAATAAGTCAGCCTATCCGTGTAGAAGCACATGGACCACAGCACCCTCCACCTCAGTCAATCCAAGAAAAGTCCAGATGGGATCAGGGGCCAACTATGCTGAACACACACTTGTGAAAAATGAAGTTTTCCACACACAGTGTGGGTTAAAACAGATAAAACAGACACCTTGGAAGACTGACTTATCAAACACCCTGGCCAGCTAAGCTACAGCCCATGTGGTCCCCTGGCCTTCCTCTCACTGTACGGTCTACAGGCCCAAACACACGGAAAAACTTCTGCCTCTGCTACCCTGGACCTATTAGCAAACCCTCTGCCCTGCAGTCCTTCCATCCAGAAAACTCTACAGGAACCTTATTTAGGCTCTCTGCATGAAGCTTATCCCCAAGGACTAACTTTAAAGACAGCTTCATTTCTAAGAGAACAATTTGCCTGATTAAAAAACCTTCCAGGGGCCTTGAAGCATTATGAAAAAAAGGTTGTACAAATGACTCCTAGAAAGGGAACAAGAGAGCCTTAGATCAGCTGCAAAAGGGGACTTGGAGCAGGCTACAGTTGCCTCAAAGCACTTGCTGTGGATTAACATCCCATTTCCAGCAGCACAGTGCTGCTCAAGGGCTCTGCACACACCTCCACAGAGAGTCCTGGCGCAAGGGGTCACCTGGTTTTATCCTGAATGGGGCCAAAACTATGAAAGGCAAAAGTTCAGGACCCAGTGAACACCTTTGAACCTGCAACTGTCACTGAATATGAGCTGAATAGCAGGGACATTTGTTTTTTTTAGTGTTGACAGCCAGGCAGTGCTTTGATTTGAGCCCTGCAGCTGGCATGGAACACGCAGTGTGTGGCCACACCGTGACAATCCTGTGTCTGTGCCCAGGGTGTCAGGAGGGAGCTGCTTTCTCTCCTGAGCTGCTACTGCCACATCCCTGAGGGCTCAGGTGGCTCCTGCAGAACTCTGAGGGTCCCTGGGGTGCACCTGTACATAAATGTGGGGTCATACTGAAGGTGAATCACTGCAAGGGAGACCCCCACAACTGCTACTGCCATGGGTCCAGCCCCAGGGCTCCCTCCATTCCTCCATCATGGAACACAAAGGACAAGTGGCTTCCAAATTCTTAGCAAACACACTAGTGATTTGTGACTAGTCACTTGCAGTACAATTGCATTTATTAATTTCTTTAAAGCTAATGCAAAGCTTTGGAAGCAAATTAATAATGGCACATCCCCTTATATCTAAATGGCTGCTATCATTATTTAAAGAGGAAGAAATGAATGAGGGCAAACTGGGAAGTGCAGCATGCTGAGCAGGCACAGATTTAGGCAATCTTCCCCTTGCAGTGATGCTCTCTTTAAAGCACATCTTATTCTTTCAGTCCTAGACTTCTCTTGGGTATAAAATGCCAGCTGTGTGTATCAGTTCTGTGATAGGTTCAACATGACATTTACCAAGCACAATGCCAAGAATAAGAAGATCAATAAACACTGCAAAGTTGGGACTATGGCTGGCTGAATATAGATCCTTTCCTTGGAAATAACTGAAGATTTGTGTCTGGGTAAGAAGGAGGGTTGGCCTTTTTTTCATTCCTCTTGTTATTTCTCAAAAAAAAAAAGTAAAAAGGGGACTTACCAGCTTTGAAATACTGGCACATATCTCAAAGTAGAAAATTAAGGAGAGAAAACCAAATCCCCGTGTAAAGGAATATTATCCTAAGTCAGAATGCTTCAACCTGACAGGTAACTAAATAAAGCCATTTTTGATTAAAAGCTGCTGACGTACAAAGAGAAGAAATGCAGCCAGGCTAGAGCAGGAGGCTCTCTGGAAAGGCAATATTTTACCTGTTTTGGGTTTGTCTCTCATCGGTGTCATGTACCCGTCCTCATCCAGCTCTCCCCGCACAACCCGCTCGGGCATGAAGACGGTGGGGTCAGCGCTGTACCTCTGGGTGCTGCTGTCCTCTTTTGCCAGGGCTGCCACCTGCTTCTGCATCGTGCCATTGCAGCAAGTGTCTTCAAAGATCTCTGCTGTGGCCCCTTGAGCAGCTGGGGCTTCTGGAAGGATGCAGCCAGGAGCCCTGTAGGGCATCGGCACCTCGGCCGCGTAGCCGCCGTCCCGGTACACAAACTGGTTCTGCTGGGACAAAGAGCACAGCATGGGAAAGGAGAAGCTTCAACAGCAAGTCATGGTGTGCCTCCCGTGCCTGCCTGCCCATCCTGAGCTTCCAGGCTTTGGTGTGGAGCCACAGAGCATCCATCTGCCCAGTGGGGATGGAAATGGGGCAGGAAAACTCGTCTCCTGGTCGGCACGTGGAGGCTGGACACACACAGCTGCAAGAGGTGAAGGTGGTGGTTCCTCTCCTATTATTCTGGCAACCTCCCCTGACTTCTGATCAGAGCCCTTTAAACCTCATGTGTGGGAAAGCTCCTGACTCCTGATAGAAACCACTATCACCTCTGTTTATTCTGGGGGATACTTCTAGTTTGTGCTGTGGTGGGAATCGTGGGGTCACCACACCAGGTGGAATTCCATCAGGAAGTGCATTTCAGGGTCACCCATGCCATGTGGAATTCCATCAGGAACTGCATTTCAGGCTGGTGAACTGTGTTTGTATTGCACCTCAACTCAGTGGTTTAACCCAACCTACCATTTTGCTTGTCAGCACAGACATGCAAGGAAATTTCATCATCATGACCTGCAGATAGGAAGGAAAGATGTACAGATCTATCCAAGCCTTTCACCTAAATGCTTTTTCAGAAAAGTTGCCAGAGTTTTGGGTGTGGGTCCTTAGAGTTTGCACACGAATCCAGGCTGAATCTGGAGATCTTTACCCATTTGATTCCTTATGTAAATGCTTCATTACCTGGTTTCGAGTCATTTATGCAGGAAAAAGGAGTTTGAAAAAGGAAAAAAAATAGTGAAAAAAGAAGGAAAGCCTGAAGGATGAAGGCTGAATGTGAAATACTTACTCCTGACATAGGGGTGTAGGCAGGAGGAGGGCTGTGTCCAATTTCATTCTAACAGGAAAGAAAAATGAATGATGGATACGTAACAAGAGGCCACATGAATGAAACAAGTCACATGAGCTGTATGAGCTAACTGGGAGAAACATGCACACCAGTCAGATTTCCTAACTGGACCCAAAATTCAAATTCAGTCAGGGCAAATGTCTCACCCCCAACAACAAGCCGTGTGTCTTAGAAAAGCAAGGCTTTTGCCAATAGGCTCGACTCCTGCACACAGGGCTATACCCCTCTGCCAGTAAAAGTTTAGAAGATCAGCAGCTTAAAAAAAATACTGTTCCAGGATGGCATTATGTGTCTGTGGGCTCTGCTCCACCCCCAGCACAAAAGGCTAAAGCCACTGTCCTGTCTTTAGCTCTTCTGGGCTGTGATTGTAATATTTAAATACATATTCTGCAACTATAACAGCACAGCCCTGTCCCAAGATGTCATCAGGCAATGGACTGCCATTAATGTGGTTATTGCTGTTTTTGCTGACAAGAGACTCTCCAGTCAGCGGCCTGCCAACTAAGATCACTATAATTGTGTTTTTTTCATGCCTCCCCTTTAGTGCTGTACTATATATATCTGTCTTACAACACCCCTTACCACAGAACCTTACACATGGCTCTTCTCCACCACTGCTCTCTGCACATTTTTTTAGTTCTTTACTGTTTTTCTCCATGAGCTGTTAACCTGTAGCCACTGCTCCATTAGAACAGGAGGCAAAGAAAAAAGCTGTGCTGCCATTTAGTTGGCTTGAAAAATTAATAGAAAAAATTTAATATTAAAAAAAATAATACAAATGTGTAAGTGTCCTTAAATTGACTGGTAATTGCAATGTGAGGTCATAATTTTGTAGGCTTCCAAGATTACCCTCAAACAATTCTTATTGGTTAGGATATGTGAGAAGAAAATATGTTTGGATTTTACCAGGTAAAACATAAATAGTTTGTTTTGTATGTGAAATGCAATTTACTTTGTTGATTTTTGCTGGGGGCGGGGTGGTGGTGTTGTTTTTGCATTTTAAATACTATCTTGAAATCAGAGGATGTTCCTTTAGTGAAAAGCTCTAGAATTTTGGATTTTTGATCTTAAAAGTCTCACTGGAATGATCATATCTGTTTTTTTGAGATAGACAGAGACCTTAGTGGGCTGGTTGCTTGAAGACCTCACTACATAAGCCTACTTAAGAAGTCTCAGCTTGTACACACACAAAAAAAAAAAAAAAAAAAAAAAAAAAAAATCAATACCAGCTCCTTTTGATGCTGTAATGTGAGTTATAGCCATTAGCTGTGGAGTGCACATCCATCCACAGGGGAACTCATCACACTCCATAAGGAGCCTCACTTCTTCAACTGCCCACGAGTAGCCCTCCTCAGAAATGCCCAAGATTTCATTCTGTACATCACATGATTGAATTTTAGGCAAAAACATGACAACGAGGAGAAATAATAAAATCCAAGAAAATGTCTCCTAAAGCCTTTTTCCGAGGCTCTCTGGTACAAAATACCAGTGACACATCAGCTGTTGTAACAGCCAATATTTGTGTAAAATGAGCCCTGATCCAAGAGTGGTAAATAACATTTCTGTGAATATTGGCTAGTGTTATTGCTTTCTATTTATTAATTTCATTTTCCAATTCCTTGCTTCTAAAATCTCCTAAAGGTAAATATCTCCTGCTTTATAGCAGGGACACAATATTTTCTGGCTGCATCTTAAACTGCAATGAAATCTAAGCCTTGTTGGGTCCAGCCCCCTTGCTGCTTCAGAGCTGGTTTTCCTGGCCAGCCACAGAAATGTTGATAGGCTTGCACAATCACTGGTGTTTCTTGCTCTAAAGCAGCCTGCTAAACTCACAGGACTGAAAAATTTCTCTCTGAAGGGAGGACATGAGTGTACACACATGTTTGAGCCCACTCTGATACTGCTCAAAACTCAGCTCCCTTTTCCTCTCTTTCTGCTCTCACACACCAAAAGCACCAAACAGGAATAAAACACTCTAGCCGTGCCACTGGGATGCTGCTCCCAAATCCTGTTCAGGGGCATCCTGTGCTCCAGGCCTCAGGCAACTCAATAATTACCTGCTTTGAGCAAAAACTCAGAACACTTCTTTATGCCATTCCTCAGTCCTGGGCTGTGTGCCCCCAGAAACAACTCATTCTCCTCCTTCCCCTAAAATCTCTTTACCTAATTTCAAACCAAGGGAGTATCCAGGCTCCAGTCACCAAACCAAAGCATCCTAAGATATTGACCTTGCTGCAAAGCACCACAATTTCTGATTTATGGGAGTGGATCTGAATAAAATGTGGGATGGTCTGCAGAGCACACAAGGCAGTGTCCAGCCAGCTCCCAGGCAAATTCCAGCTACATTCCAAGGGAGCAGCCTGGCATTTCACAACTGATCCAAACTGGAAAGACCATTCCAGGAGAACAGCCACCTCTCCTTGGCTGCAGTCCTGCTTCCACAGAATTTGCAGATTTCTCTGCCCTGCCACAGACAGCAAATATTTCTAAAAGGAAAATCCAAAGGAAAAGCACGCCCCATGAGATCCCTGTGTCATGTTCAATAGAAATGGAATGCTGTTTGTATAGTAGTTGCTGGAAGGCTTTGCAGACCTCTGGGGGTTTCTGGTCCCAGCCCCTGCTCAGAGAAAGGCCATATATAAATAGAAAGGATTTGACACCTCCCTGGGCTGTTAAGGTTCAAGCATATCCATCCCCACAGCTCACGGTGTCTGACACAAGTCTGGCATTCCCTGGCCATAAAGGTGGGGATTGGGGAATCTTTATAGGAAATTATGAGATCTCAGCAGTACCTTTTCTCAGAATGTGACACATGTTTTAACTTAAATGTTGATCATGAGTACAGAAACAATGTAAGTATCATTTTGCTCCAGTCTCCAACAACTGCTGCTTTCCACCATCGAACACAAAACATCCAGCTTAGATCAGCCAGGGAAAAAATACACAGAAGAAACAAAGATTAAGTCTTTTTCTTTGTTTCAGTTTTTTTCTGGTTGCTGTTTGCCAGAGGACAGGTAGGATTTGCAAGCAGCCTGGGCTCTAACTCACCTCCCATAGACTGAGATATGCCAGCCCATGCCCTGGCAGAATGGTGGATTTAAGACACCCCTGAACCTGTCCAAAATAATTTTGGGTGTTTCACTGGCCCCCTGGGTTCAGCTCAGTACCAACCAACTTCTTAGCTTCAGATAAGTCATCACCACTTTCTCTTGTGTCATTTTCTCTCATAACAACTGTCTGTTTTCATACTTTTTAAATCTTTTAGAGCAATCCACATGGACTGGGATATCCAAATTGCCTTCTAGGAGTAATTTAGTCTGGACTGTGAACTGTAAATGGCATACATCACAAACAAGACCTTGGCATGGGAAACAACATACTCATACATGGCACAGAGTATTTCCTGTGCTGTTACTGGAAAATACCAGATAAAACCCATATATTTTCAGTCTAACACTTCACCAAGTAGAGAAGTCAAAGGTGACAACACCACCAATGAAAACAGTCTCTTAAGAGATGCCAAATTTGGGAAAAAAACTCAGCATTCAGCTACACTGACAGGAAAAGGTAGAAAAAAATGCTTTTCTGTAGCCTCATCTCTTTAAGCCTGATACCCAGGCTGGAAATAAAAGCATTCAGCTGTGTGGCACCAAAGGCTTGGAAACCCAGCTGATCTCTGGAGCTCAGAAACCTGCACACATCCTCCATCCTACCTTCAGAGGAGCTGGCAAATGGATTTCAGCTGGCACAATTTGCACTTTGATCTAAGCATGACACAGGAATGGAGGTGCAAGGATCCCCTTTGCCTTTTACTTTGTGTTAATGAATCCGAGTGTCAAACAGAGAGAACAGAGACAGCTGGCATTGCCTGTCTTTTCCTTTCAATCTCCTTGACTCCCCCATCCTTCCTGTCACCCATGAGTAGCTTTCTGTCACTCTCTTCTTTAATACACTCTCCAAGACAGTAAATGGCACCTTTTAACACCAAGCCAATTCCCCACGATTTGAAAGGGATGAAGAACCATTTCCCACCTGTTCCAGCAATTCCCTGTGGGGCAGAGGGCTCAGCACTGCTCCTGCTCCTGGGCTGTCCAAAACACAGGACCA